TTCCGTTCATTTTGGCATTGATACCAGGCACATTGAATGTCTTAAACCGGGTGTCAAAAATCGGAATTCTGTCTTAAACAGGGTAGGAAAATCAGCGATATTTGTCTTAAACAGGGTCAGGGATGAGGGCCGCGCCGCACCTCCCCACCCAGGAATATATCGAGTACCCACCCGGGTTCCTTCCACGCATTAGAAGAATTCAGAACGGCCGTTAATTTGAAATTCTCGCTGGATTGGTTGCTCGTCAAACCGACTTTTGCGGAATTTTTTCGGTGAACTTAAAGGGAAACTATTTGGCTTTCGTGCTGCCGAGTTTTGATTCGAGGGAAAGTATTTCAGTGCTGTTTTCGAGCGATTTTGGCGAGCATGTGTCAACAGAAGTTAGTTCCCGTTAAATATGCGCTGTAATTTAGGACGTCAAGCTAAAACACATCAAAACGGCCTCAAATCGCGAGGAGAACTACACGGACTACTCTCTATGAAGGTAAGACTTTGTTTCTTTGATTTTTTCACACAACTTTACATTTACGGAGCTCAAAAGCAAGTCCAACTAAACCACTATACAAACTCTTTAATATTCACTGTGAAAGAGCCTGTGACAGAGCTTGGGCCACCTGTGCTAAAACGGATTGCTCGTACGTAGAACTTGATTCTGCACATGGACATAAAAATATCAATGAATTTTTTCGAGGAAAAGTTTAAGAATTCGGAGGGAGGAACCCTTAAATCAGTGAGTCTTGAAAGAAGTCACGCTCGTCTTGTGCAAATGGCGCATTATCCGTTTCGAATTGTAACCGTCTCTACCTCTTGGCGCCAAATTGAGAACACATGACCTTAGTTGTGAAACCGCTGGGACTCAGAGGGAAGCAGGCATGCGTCATATTCTTAGGCAGGAAAATTAATCATCTTACCGAGGGAGAACTAGCGCCTTGTCAAGGTTCAGCGTTAATCGAGATCAATTTCTTGAATTTTAGTCGCTATTTTATTAAAGGAAAATTAGTGCCTCAGTTCTTCTACTTCTTGGGCAATGCCAAGAAGATCTTAACCATCGAAACCGTCCTTTTCTGCAAGATAAGATACGAACAAAGATCAGTGGAACTGAGTCAAGTTTTTACATAAAGTTGCAATAAAATGTGTTGATAAGCAAATTTCTTTCGCTTACCTATCCTCTCGAAAGTCTCTGGAGAAGACCCATGCTACTGGAGCCAAGAAACAATCACCTCGCTACTGTAGTTCCTTACTGAGTCCGACGCACTAGGTCTAGCTAGGTTTATTCGACTATTGAGATACGGAGAGGGAGCTGCTTACACGCACTAGCGAACGAAGGGCGAATTTTGGAGGGAAATCGCTTTTAGAAAAAAAAATTTAAACATTAAAAAGTTCACCGTAGAAATTGGAGTAAACCAATCGATAGTTGATTGCGGTTTCGTTCGAGTTAAAGATCTACTTCTACCCGAGTATACCATTAACATTTCCGAATCCCTACGTCCTTGTGGCGTTTAAGTTATGATGGGTTTTCCAAGTAACATGTGCAATGCTGTCCTTGACAATTATAGGCTAGTTATCAGTCATTTGAAGCGGGTGCATACAGAAAATCCTAATTTCTTTGTTACATTAAATGGGTATCGAAATCACGATTACTGGAATGACCGTCGATGAGAAACTGACCTGGACTCCGCATATGCTGGAACTTAAAAAATCATTTGCTAGGATTGCTTAAGAAGTCGAGATTTCTACCTAAGAACGTTCGTCTATTTTAAGGTCATTTTGCCTTCAGTGACTTATGGTCTTATAATCATGATGGGGATCTTGCTGCGATTACGACTTATTTCAGTCTCTTGAAAGACCTCATTGTAGGGCTGCAAGACTTATTTTTAATTTGCCGAAAGACATGGCATCTGTTGATGTCCTACAACGGGCCCAGTGGCCGACTCTGTCTATTTATTATAAATCAGACATTTTTATCTGTTTTCATAAAGCTTTCCACGATAGGTTACCCGCTATACTAATCGATCTGATTCTCAAGAAACGGGCCACAAATTATTCAACTCAGGCTTGCGCTTCCTTAATTGTTCCACGCTTCAACACGCGCTACATGTTTAGAGGCTCGGTCCTGTGGAATGCAGTGACCAAAAATTGTAGCGCCCTGTCAAAAAATATTTCGTATCGTGACCTCAGGCTAAAGTTTAAATCTCTAGTTCATTTTATTGAATTCAGTTTTAAGATAATGTCTGCATCCACTTGTAATTTTAAAAAAGATGACTGTATATATTTAAATTTATGTTTACAATTCCATATTCGTAAGCACCGCTGGTTTAAGTTTAGACGTTCTCTACGTACCCCTAGGTCTTAGTTTTTGTTACATTTAGTGATAACTTAATTGCAAACGACCCAACAAGCTCATGTAGCTTTAACACTCATCGTTTTAAAGTAAAGGTTATCTATCTATCTATCTATCTATCTATCTATCTATCTATCTATCTATCTATTTATCTACATATAGCATCAATAGATTTGAAAGTTGTATATATTGTCCTTTTATATTTTTAGTTAATGACACGACCCCAAAAGCTTCTGGCTTCAGATATTTATGAAATAAAGTGATTATTATTACTATTATTAATATTATTATTATTATTATTATTATTACTATCGTTATTATCACTATTATTGTTATTATTTACTGAGTGTATACTGCCTCATTATACCCCCTTATATTCGACATTTCAAATGCAATTTGCCAAATATATCACTACAAGTAACTTCTGTGGGCTAGAAGATATTATATCATGACCAGTACACATCCAGCTAAGAGCTTTTTTCTAAGTATGTTTAGTTACTTGTATAATTAACCGTACACCTTGTGTAAGGAAAGTATAATTTTCAGTACACACACGGATAATAAAGAGACTGAAATATCCTGAACCGTATACAGTCCTTTTTGATCAAAATCATTATACATCAGTATATCGTTCCGTATACACAATTTATAAAGCTTCATGGCACCTCCTTATATTCGACATTTCATGCAGTGAAGCAATATGTGATGTGACTGTGGAATAAACAACCCGGGCGAGTCGAGAGTTTGATGGTTATGATTCATGGTATTGACTTTCATTATAATCATATTTGCGATACTTCCTTGTTTCAAAGGAAACTAAATAACTTATAAAGATTCGAGAAAGCCTTAGGAAGTAATGTACTTTCCATTGTGAGCGGCCGCCTTACAAGCGGATGTTTACTGATGTTTATCTGATGTGAGTATGGAGCGAGTTTGTGTTATCGCCGTGCATTCTTCTTCTCTTCTCTCTAGATAACTAAAGTCGTCTACGTCTGACTTAGGTACTCTTTTTCCAATCTCATTGGTCTCGCTAAGAGCAACTACTAAATAATAGACTGGAATTAGATAGGCGAAATAATTGATTAATACTTGAACCATGATGGAGATGGTGATCATTCCCTACCAAACTATCTGTCCAGTGATTGTTTGTAATCCTTAGCTTCAGGAAAACGTTCAGTAAGTTTTAACACCAATAATTTAACTCAGTAAAACATGCTTTCGCACACACCCATTTTGTTGTTGATTATTATAAGGGCTTGAGACAACGTCTCTGCAATTTCTCTCATTCTAGATGGAGATAAGCTTTGTTCGTGTTATAGCTTTAATAACAAGTCATTTGGTTGGACATGGCCACAAGCAATGGGTAGCTGTCAAAACCGCAAGAAAACACTTGTGATGATGGAAACAGAGCGGGAATGGGAATTTATCAAAAATGAGATTCAAAACCGAGTAGGCAGTAAAAATGGTGAATGGTTTATAGGCTTGGAGCGAAATATTACAACAGGGAATTGGACTTGGATCAATGGTAAACCTCTCACTATTGACAAATGGCAGGGCTCAAATCCTGACCCAAACGACTTTTATGGGATGATTCATGAGAAATTTGGATTCTATGGATCTTTTAGTACTGTAAAAGTCGAGGTACAAAGAGGTTGGATTTGCGAGGAAGAAACAGGTATTGATCATCCACAAGCAAAGAGCGGCTAGAGCACGAAAGAAGTGTCGGAAAAAAACACGAGACGTAGTTTGAGTGTTTCTTGAGTGCTCTAGCTGCTTTCTAAGTGTTTTAAAACATAACAGAGCACAGTCAAGGCCTCTATTAAATACCCTATATATTACTTTGTATTTTCAAACAAAGCTTCGATTTCCAAAGCGAACAAAAGGGTCGTCAGCATGCTCTATACTGTAATAAATGAGGCTACAATAAGCCAATCAGAATTCTTGTTAGAATGGCTTAACTAAACTAATTGATTGAACAACAACTGACTAAAGCTGTCAAAAATGTCAAACCATCAAAGTTCACAAACTGAAATAGTTCTGCAGGTCGACTCTAACACGTTTGCCTGAAGTTTTTTCGTTTAATTATCTAATCTGAAAAGGAATTGTTTAGGGAAATTCGGCTGAATTGTGTCTCGTAAAAAATACACAAGCTTTTTTCACATGGCAATTACGAAACAAACTGTTCAAGTCAAGTAATTTATAAATGAAAGACCGCCGAATTCACAAAAACAAGAAGATTCCTCGAGATAACGGCCCCGTAAAACTCGGCTGCAGTGAGTTGTGTGGCCTTCCAATCAAATTATCGGAAAGGATATCAGAGCAAGCTCGCCATGATGAGTTAGCCGTATGGACCTCAGCATAATCGCTCTGACACCGTCATGATTTGTATGAATTTTAACAGTTATGCTAATTGGTTGTATTTTTTATCATACCTGAATTTCCTGTTTGTTTTCAAACTATGGAGTGCCATTACCGCGAATATTCAGCTGGTGTTTTTTTATAAAATGGTGCTTAAGATATGAAGCCAATTAGGTTTTATGCAGCTAATCATTTTATAATTTGATTAGCTGCATAAAACATAATTGGCTTCATATCTTAAGCACCATTTTAATAAAAGAACAGTAGCTGAATATTGGCGGTAATGGCACCCCACACTGAATACGAAACAACATATACTAAACGAGTAGTGTTAGCTGCGTTTGAGTTTTATTACCATAGTTAAGCTTAAAATCTAACTGAGCGTTAAAACATTAAAAACTCGGACTGTATGTTCATTTTCGTTTTGAGGATTAACAACGTCTGCTACGGCGCTTGGCACGTTTACAAACCGTTTTGTTTGGTTCTTCTGTTGCTACTTGCCGACTCGCTTTTTCCGAAATTTCACTTTCAATTATCGAAAAGTAATAACGATAATGATAATAATAATAACAACAATAATAACAATAATATAACATAATGGTAATAATAATAATAATAATAATAATAATAATAATAATGATGATCATTTATTAACGGATCCACTGGGTTGCTCTTCCCTCTTAAAAATAATACTTATTATTGACACGAGATCATTAGCAGAATTGATTCCTTGTTGTTATCGTAAATCAAAGAGCATAAACTCATTGCAACACATTGTTGTCCTGAATTTTTCCAAATACCAATTCATTATCTTGGCTATATGGTGCCATTATTGTTTTGCTAGGGTCAAGGTACAATGGAGTAGGACCTGGATTTTTCTCTATATCTTAACGCAGTTGAAATTTACAGTAGTTTGATGCGTGTGTCTGACTCTTATAAAGACACAAGGGTCTATTACAAGAAAATATTGATCAATACCACCTTGCTCTATACTTTAATTTTATTATCCTCTGATATACCCTCACTGAACAATTCAACAAATACTGGCAAGAGTACCATATAACCCCATACTTTCTTACTAGCTTTAAACCGTGCTCTCTAGGGGTCGTTCTATGCATGCGCTTGCATTTTGCGCATGCGCTATAGTAGAACTGTGTTTTGTGACTGAATGCAAAAATAAAACAAAAACAAAAAAAAACAAAGCCGAATTTATACCTCGGGCGTTTCCTTCGGAAAGCCAGAGTAATTAATACAGCAAGCTGTGGGATATACAACACAGGCGTAAAACTTGAGAGCTTGATGGGTGTAAGAAGGCCGCAATGAGGTTAACTGTCAACCGTCAAATGGCCAAAATGTTAAGCGTCAACCATCAAAACGCAGTGTTTATACCGTCAACCGCCAAATAAGCAAGCCAATGTCAGTCGTCAAATGTCTCAGATATCCTGATTTCAGAACTAAACGATTGCCGTAATTGGGGTCAAGTTCTGTTGTTTATGAATAAAAGTTTTGATATATCCCAAAAATACATTTATGTAAGTCTCCTAAATTGTAGTCACGAGTAAACCCGGTTAGCGACAGAACTGACTTCGGGTGTGAAAACACTTCCGGTGGCGTGAAACGTTAGTCATTTTTTTAATAAAAGGTGCTATAAATAAACGATTCTTTACAAACGTGTCATTACGAGAAATTACAGCCACATTCACGCGTTTAGTTCGTTTTATAAACGACATTTCAAAAAGTTTAGCCGTTAACTGTCAAATTACCTAAAATTTAACCGTCAACCGTCAAAGGGGCCAATTTTTAACCGTCAACGGTCACCCTCATATAATTAATAGTCTTGATGATTTTTATTATAGTTATCTTTGCGACACTTATAGAGCGCTTACCTTACTAGTGGATGTTTACTGATATTCATCCAATGTGGGTAAGGAGCGAGGTTGTACTATCGCCGTAATGTGTTTTCTCTTCTGTCTAAGTAACCAAGTTCTGAAGTAGTCCTCTTTCGGTATCGTTTAAAACGAGTAATGAATAATGAAGTGATAGATACATCATAAATAAATTCCTAATTTAATAGGTAATCACCTTGTTGGCTAATGGATACACGATGATGGTGATGATAAGGATAACGACGACGATGATGGTGATGGTGATCATCCTTCACCGAGCTAACTGAAGTCATTGATTATAATCCTTAGCTTCATTGAAACTTGCAATAGGTTTTAGCACCTAACCGTAAGTCAGTAAGACATGCTTACTCACGCACCCTTTTTTTTTCTTTTAAAATTATTAGAAGAGCTTAAAAAAATTCTTTGCCATTTCTTTTATTCTAGATGGAGACAAGCTTTGTTCGTGTTATAGCTTTAACAACAAGTCAAATGGAATGGCGTGGCCACAAGCAATGGGTAGCTGTAACTATAACAACAAAATCCTTGTGGTGATGGAAACAGAGCGAGAATGGGAATTCATCAAAAATGAGATTCAAAACCGAGTAGGCAGTAACTATGGTGAATGGTTTATAGGCTTGGAGAAAAATTTCACAACAGGGAATTGGACTTGGGTCAATGGTAAACCTCTGACTATTAATAAATGGCAGGGCTCAAATCCTGAACCAACG